GTGCTGTTCAAAATCTTGCCAGAGAAATGGACACGTAGGCACAACCTGGTGAGACAGCCTGTGATGATGAGTTTCTCACCACTCCAGGGGATGTCAGCCTGTGACTCTGGGGCCTTGCTTTAACACAGTCCTGATGACTGGGATTCTTCTCCTTGCAATCAAACTGTAGGCTGCACTTCAGTGTCTCAAGGCCCGCATCATCACTCTAACTCTATGCTTGTGCACCTTCTTTGAAGGATCTCCTTTCCAGTCAGGGCACTTGTGCTCTTGGATTTGGGAATATCTCTCAAAGTAATTATTGCTCTTGGCAGCAATGGGCCTGGCTCTGCTTTTGCAATCTAACTTCTCTCCTTCATACCTCCGTGCCTTAAGTAGCATTCTCCGAAGAATAGCAAATGTAGGCTACTGCCCTCCAATGACACCTTGCTGGACACCTCTGGTAAGCGAGGAGGAATCCCAACGACAAAAGCACACATGGGCAATTGATACCTGTCCCTCCACCTGCCCATGTCTTTGACACAAGTCGTGCTTTGGCCATCCAGACTGCCAGCCCAATGGGAACAACCAAATACTTGGTAGCATTTTCACTGATTAGACGCGCCACCCTGTTCAGGAGCACTGAAAGTGCTCACAATGGCAGGTGGATGATCAACAGCACCAGAGGTTCCCCTGGTACCACTGGTGGCAGGAACAGAGTGGCAGGAGCAAAGCAGAGGCTGAGGAGGACGGGAGTGTGGGAAGGAGGACTGAGAGCAAAGTTGGTGGTGTACCACTCCCTCAGTCTCCCCAGCTTGAAGCCTGTGTGGAGGACACAACTGAGCCTGGTTTGGGACCTCCCCAAGCTCAATCTGCTCAGCAGCTGAATGGGAATTTTGGATGAGTCCTGCAGGGTTGCTCCAGACCCACTTGCCCTCAGGATGCAATGATGAGCTTGTAAGGACTTCACGATAACTATGCATTAGACCACAGGATTGCTCCACCATCCTGGAAAGACCATCCTGCTCCCTTCCTGCACTCTGCAGCGGTTTCAGGAGATGTCACAGATGTTGTCCAGTTCCTCACATGCCAGAAGATAGCCTCCGCATTTCCAGCTTGCACTCATCACCACTATACACACCCATGCTCAATACATGCATTCAGTTACAAATCAAAGGAGGGCTTGGGTTTCAGCAGTGTTGGCCTCACTTTGACATCTCTGGGACTCTTTCCACATTGAGAGTTTGGAGATGTGCTTGGAGGAGGGACAGGCAGAAGACGCAGAAGAATACTCTGAGTGGTAACATCCAGTCAGAGCTTTGCATCTTTGAGCACTAGCTCACAAAAAATACAATCCGACAATTAAAATGTTTGCTTCATCAAATGAAATTAACAATCAAAACCTGAGCTCCTTATGTATATCTTTCAATTTGAGAGAGCAAATGGGTACTCTGGCATACCTTCTCTAACTATATACTCATTCACCTGAACTCCAATAAGTATAATCTGCCTTGAGGGTAACCTACCACACTGTGTGGAAAGGAGGTCCAATTAAGACAATCAGTACCCATTCTTTTCCAACCCAACACATCACGTCCACCCCTAGACAGAGGATCCAGTCATGCCAACGTGGAAGGAACACAAGGAGACTGAGATTACAATGCAGCATAAACTTTATTGAGTCTAAAGATAGAAACGAAGCAATGCATGATGGAATGGATCTGGTCCAGGCTGCTATGGGGGCAGCTGGCTCTCAGACACACTTCAAGCTGAACGGGATGCTGGCCTTCCTCATTCATATGTCTGGAGGGAGAAGAAGCAGGGCCATCTCCACTTGCTTCAGGATGAACCCAAGGCACAGGAGAGCAGGACACAAAATGAACGTGTGATGTTGGGAAGAAACTAGAAGCAGAAGACGTCTGCTGGTTGTATCACCTAACATTAACAACCAGCAATGGTGCTCAGCCCATCTGGAATCATTGGCCAGCAGTCGTGTCCTCAGTTGAGTGCCTGGCTTTGGGCTTCCTGGGCAATGGGCTCAAGCGATGCCCTCTTCATCCTTAGAGCAGGCACCTCCTGCCAGAGAAGCGGCTGCCCAGGCCAGAGATGCCAAAGCCACCGGAGGAGATGGGCACGCCCTCCTCACTCAGGATGCTGCCAACAGCAGCGGAGGTGCTGGAGCCCACAGCGGTGTTCTGGGGGAAGGAGCTGAGGATGGGTCCGGGCAGGGTGACCACAACGGGAGAGGGCTGGATCACCACCCGCGAGTCCTGGCACTGGCGCACACAGGGCTCGTTGCAGCTGTTGGCCAGCGGGGTCGGGCCACAGGGACGGCACAGATCGTAGCAGGACATGGCTGTGGGATGGAGGTGGACCTGGAAAGAGGACAGCAAAACACACACAGCATGAGCAGTAAGCTGGTTGTATACTCACCAAGAGAGGAAGCTCAGGCTGAGAAGTTGTACAAGCAGTGTTTGTATAGAGAGTGTCCTGATCCCCAGGATCTCCAGCAGAGTCAGCCCATTGCCTTCTCCCTCCTCCCCCCACACTTCCAAGCAGAAAAGTGCAGGTGGGAGCACCACCAAAGAGCAAGGCTCACATCAAGGTCTGCATGAAGGCAACGACTCACTGGAAGCCAGAAGAGCAAGAACAGAAGCAGAGAATGAAGAGAGTGAGTAGAAGACTATTGCAGCTCACCTTGTTCACCAAAGTGGAAAAGGCAAGAGAAGTGGATGAGGGAGCCTGGTGCTGGACTGGCTTTTATACTGGTAAGGACTGCCCTAGGCAGTGAGGTACAATTTGCACTTGTAATGTGTTTACCAACAAGGTCATATTTTATGTTTAGCATTCCAATTACATAAATAGTTAGATTGTTTATTTTCCCTGCAATGCTTCCTTTTTATTTCCATTTTCATTACTTGCCCATTCCTTCATGCAGTTTCCATTCATGGTACAATACTATAGGCCACTATTTCCATTGGTAATCATGCTAAATTCAGGCCCTTGTTTTTCAAGTTAGAATGTTGCCATGTTTTCAGGTGACATCAGCATTTTTCCCTTCTGAGGTATGTCTTTATGCTTTGTTGTTATGAATGTGTTTGTGTTTTTGTTCTTTTTTCATTATAAACATATGATTAAAGAGCAAAGCTTCTTCATCCAAGGACTGGTCAAACCTATTGCACTCAGTGCCTCCAAGGACTTTTAAGCTTTCCTCGGCATCATTTCTACAGCAGGGAGAATGTGCTGTCAGGTATTTCAAACTCTTTATGTGATATGTCACTGCACTCAATCAAGCTAGCCTGTCCACTTTGCCTTTTTAGCTCCTTCAGCATTGCCTGCTGATCCCCAAACACCAGACAATGTATATATCAGAAAAGAACGATGTTACTCTTCCAAAGTCAGTATTAGCTAGATTCTACTGCTATCTTACAGAAAGCAAACCTTAACAAAACCATTTCGTTTCTTCAAAACTCTTCCTTCTTCATTCCCTATGTCCCCACGCCTTGGATCCTTTTTTGCCCCTATGTCCTGACACGGTACACGCTGACAAACACACAGCAACATTTCCAGGCTGTGCATACATCCACCCAGAAACAAATGAGGTCTGGGAGAGCCACCAAGGGCAGCTGGGACAGCAGCAGGAGTCAGGTCCACCCCAAGGACATGTGCCATAGGAGGACACCAAGCTCTATGCAGTGTTGGCCTGAGGCAGCACATGCCCAGGGGGAGAAACTGCCCGGCAAACTCACCGACCTACACACCTCAGGCCATTTCCAGGCCCTCATCCCACAGTGTGGACAAAATGCCTTCCACAATTACAGTGGGACTTTATCAGACACAGGAAACTCTGTAATCACAGAGGCACAACCAAATTTCTCATTCAGGAAGATGAAAGGAGCTTCTAGGGTGACAAGATATGTTCATTTAAGCAACTCTCTACTCAGAATAAGTCCTCAGTGTGATTGCAATAGAGCATCTCTGCATGAAGAAAAAGGATTTTATTCATACTTTAACGAATCTTAGTCATCCTCAAACTTTATGGAACATTGGTGTCCCATCCATGCTTCTTTCATTCAAAAACCCTCAACAAGCAAAACACTGCATGCAAAAAAGTGTTTTTCTACCATCTCTCTATACTCCCAACTCAGATCCCCTTGCTGAGGGTATACATAAGACTCCAAATATTTTACAACACCCTGCTTTCTCAGACTTCATACTAAGGATGTTGTCTTCTGTGTCTGGGTGTATATTTTGACATGACATGTATTGAGTAAAAGGCACAGAATGCCATAAAGCACAAAGCAAAGTGGATTTTTACTGATTCTCTCAAGCAGACATGGCCTTTTGAATTCTTGCTGAATGTAAGTTAGAATAGTAGCCATCAAATACAATAGTATCCATCTGGCATAGAAATATACATTTGTCAAGAGGATACAACACGGGAGTGGACTCTCACTTTACTTTAACCTGGACTACAGGGCCAGGAGGCAAGGATTGCCCATGAAGCAGTAGAGAAGAGGATGGTAGGTTCCGAGAAGAGAACTGAAAATCGGAGCCAAAATCTGCCATTAGAAAGATGGAGTAGATGCCAGATTATCTCTTTGACTCTTTCTGGACTCTGTACTTCGAGGGTTTGCCAGGTGCTCATGGAGGAATGGGAAGAAAAAATATGCTCAGAATGGTAATACTGCATCAGAGCTTCAACCAGTTGGTCACTAGCCTCAAAACCATACAATTCAACAATTCAGATGTTTGCATCAACAACTGAAAGACAAAATCAAAACCTTGCTCATTCTTTAAATGAAATTTGAAGGAGCATACAGAAACACTTGGCAGAACAAGAATGTTCTGGCTCTCAACAGGTTCAGAATGTCATCTCCAATGTCCATCTCCAATACTCAAAGCAGGAAGGAGATATAATTAGGACAATAGCCATCAACCATTTTCAACATCAAGGCATTACGTTTTCCCCTAGACAGCTAGAGTGAAGATCCCAACAGGAAAGAAACAAGAGGAGACTGAGATAACAATGCAGCATAAATTTATTGAGTCTGAAGGTAGAAAATAAAGCAATGCATGGGGTAAGGGATCTGGTCCAGGCTGCTACAAGAGCAGCTGGTATTCAGACATCCCTTCACCAGAACGGGATGCACATCTTCCTTCCTCACATGGTGAGAGGGAGAAAAAGCAGGAGCATCTAAACTTGCTTCAGGATGAACCCATTGTACAGAACAGCAGGAGATACTATGGACTCATGACGATGAGAAGAAAGTGGAAAAAGAAAATGACATCACAGGGCCATGTTTTCAGACAACACAGGCTTTGCAGCAGGGCATGAGAGTGTTCAGCCCATCTGAAAACGCAGGCCAGCAGCTTCATCCTCAGTCCGGCATCTGGCTTCAAGCTTCCCTGGGCAATGGGCTTATGGGACATCCATTTCATCCTTAGTAGGGCAGGCACCTCCTGCTAGAGAAGCGGCTGCCCAGGCCGGAGAAGCCAAAGCCACCAGAGATGGGCACTCCCTCCTCACTCAGGATGCTGCCAACAGCAGCGGAGGTGCTGGAGCCCACAGCGGTGTTCTGGGGGAAGGAGCTGAGGATGGGTCCGGGCAGGGTGACCACCACAGGAGATGGTTCAATCACCACCCGGGAGTCCTGGCACTGGCGCACACAGGGCTCGTTGCAGCTGTTGGCCAGCGGGGTCGGGCCACAGGGACGGCACAGATCGTAGCAGGACATGGCTGTGGGATGGAGGTGGACCTGGAGAGGGAACAGAAAAACACTCAGAGCAAGAGCAGCAGGCTGGCAGCCTGCTCACCAAGGGAGGATACACAGGATGGTGACCAGGGATAGATAGCGCTAGGGCAGGGAGAGTCTATAGCAGTCCGGATGCCCAGGAACCCCATCAGAGTCAGCCCAAGGCCTTCTCCCACCTACCCCCACTCTGGCAAGCAGAACAGAGCCGGTGGGAGCCTCATCAAGGAGCAAGGCTCACATCAAGGCTTGCATAGAGGGAAAGGCATGTTGGAAAACAGAAGAGCAAGAGGAGAAGCAGAGAAAGAGGAGGGTGAGAAGAAGGCCACTGCAGCTCACCTTGTTCACCAGGGAGGAGAAGGCAAGAGAAGTGGATGAGGGAGCCTGGTGCTGGACTGGCTTTTATACCAATCTGGACCGCCCCAGGCCTAGAGCTACCATTACTGTGAGATACCCAAGCTCATTGTGTATGCAAAACTTGGGAATTAAGTAAATAGGGACACTGATTTTTCTTCCCAGCAATTCTCCCTTTTCATTTAACTTTTCATGACATACGCATTTTGCCACACAAGTTCCTTTTAAGTGACAGGATTAGAGACCAAAATTTTTCCATTGGAAATGATACATCAGCACAAGCAAATGATGCATCCAGCAGTGTGCAGTATTCAACTACAGCATTTTATGCCAACCATGTACCCTCAGGGGCTTTGCTTTGAAGATTTAAAAAATGCATGCCTCATGTTGCCTTCCAATCCTAAAATACAAGTCTTAAAAACATTTTCCTATGAGAGGAGTAGCTGCCACCATTGCTTCATGTCTCACCTAACTCTGCCAAAATTAAGTATGAGCCTTCCCAGGCAGGTTGGATATATCCTGTTGTGTTTTAGACTATCCAAAATTTAACATCAGGAGACATTCACATGTTCTTTGACCTTCTCTCCTCCACCTGTGAAGTTTCCTGTAGCCCCTACTGACTGCAGATGGCTTTTAGAGGAGAGATGCTTCTCAACACACCACCAAAGGCCGTTCCTGTGGACTCAGGACTGTTCCTTTTTTCTCTTCAAGGCTTTCAACAAATTCTGCTTTGAAACTCCATGCTAATTCAATAGACATCACTAAAAAAGTTTGGAAACTTTAGCATCCCATAGGACACCTAAAGTCACCACCAGCTGCTTTTGACCAAGAACATAAGCAAGACGCCTGTGGATGCAAGTAGATGTCAAGATCTCCATATGTATCTCATCACTGTCATACAATTTTCCACGTGGAAATCCTACATTCATTGCTCACAGTTGTGGTCTGCCCAAAGGCCCTGGTGCCCTGCAGCACCCTGCTCCCCTCACCATGTACTGCAGATGTTGCCTTCCCTCCCCTGTTACAGCTTTTCAGCACACTTTGCTCCAGCTCAAAGCTCACAGTGACTCATGACTGTTGGCAAAGAGTACATTTCCTGAGGGGCTTCTTGCACAGTCAGGCTCAGGACTTTTTTTCACAAAAGCTACTTGTTATGGAAGACAAGGCCTTTACCTACAGTGAAGGACATTGCAGGGCTTCCCACAGCATTTGGCACAGCAGGAGAGCCACCCCTCATTGCCTCAAACAGGACTGGGAGGCACAGACAGAAGCATCACTAGAGCATATGGGAAGAACTACATAGCTTCTTTCTCCCTGCACTCCCTTAGGCAGAAGCAATCATCACATGTGGTAAAGTGAAACGCAATTAATATAGGCCACACCACGCATGGGCTAGGTTGTGTCCCTCCCTAATATTGGTGGTCTGGTAGTTCGGGGCAGAAGGGCTAAAAGATGCAATGACTGCCATCAAGAAAATTTCTCTTTTCCTCATGTGTGCAAGGGTCAAACACTGAATTCCCAAACACCTTCAATTCATAGTTGCAGCTCAGTGGTCCTACAAACACAGGCAGTGACTGTGTAGCAGTCTTATCATTGCTGAGGAATCAAAAAGTGGGGAGTAGAAGTAGAGGGAAGATCTGGGAGCAGAACTGAACTTGGCAGTCCAGAACATCACATTTCACCTTGGAGAGCATGGTTGGGCATTGCAACAGTGAAGAAACACAAATAAATTGAGATTATAATGCAGCACAAATTTTATTGAATCTGAAGATAGAAAAAAAAAACAGTGCATGGTAAAGGGATCTTACACCCCTTCACCAAAATGAGATGCATATCTTTCTCCCTCATATGGTGAGAGAAAGAAGAAGCAGAGCCATCTCAGCTGGCTTCAGGACAAACCCATGGCACAGGACAGCATGAGACAATATGAACTCATGATGATGAGAAGAAAGCAGGAGAAGACATCTGCTGGCCGTGTTTCCAGACACATAAGCTGGCACCCTGGCTTCCCTCTCTTTACAGGAGGGCATGAGGGTGCTCAGCCCATCTGGAAACACTGGCCAACAGCTCTATCCTCAATCTGGCATCTGGCTTCGGTCTTCCTGGGCAATGGGCTCACGGGAAATTCACGGCATCCTTAGTAGGGCAGGCACCTCCTGCCAGAGAAACGGCTGCCCAGGCCAGAGATGCCAAAGCCACCGGAGGAGATGGGCACACCTTCAGCACTCAGGATGTTGCCAACAGCAGCAGATGCTGAGGAGCCCACAGCGGTGTTCTGGGGGAAGGAGCTGAGGATGGGTCCGGGCAGGGTGACCACCACAGGAGATGGTTCAATCACCACCCGCGAGTCCTGGCACTGGCGCACACAGGGCTCGTTGCAGCTGTTGGCCAGCGGGGTCGGGCCACAGGGACGGCACAGATCGTAGCAGGACATGGCTGTGGGATGGAGGTGGACCTGGAGAGGGGACAGCAAAACACAGCATGAGATGCAGCCTGGCAGCCTTCTTGCCAAATAAAGAGGCACAAGCTGGGGAAAGGGACCAGTAGTGCAGGGACATAGAGAGGCCTGGCAATCCAGATCCTCTAGAGCCCCAGCAGAGTCAGCCCAAGGCCTTCTCCCACCTCCCCCCACACTGGAAAGCGGAAGAGAGCAATGGGAGCACCATCAAGGAGCAAGGCCTGCACACAGGCAAAGAGTCAGTGGAAGCCAGAAGAGCAAGAGGAAAAGCAGAGAAAGAAAAGAGTGAGGAGAAAGCCACTGCAGCTCACCTTGTTCACCAAGGAGGAGAAGGCAAGAGAAGTGGATGAGGGAGCTTGGTGCTGGACTGGCTTTTATACTGATCTGGACCGCCCCAGGCCTATAGTTCCTGTTTCTCTTGTAATTTGTGTACCAGCAACATGCTCACTTTGCATGCAAATCATTCCCCACTAGAGACACAGTTTTAGCATTGATCCTTGCAATGCTCCCCTTTCATTTCCTTGCTTATGGGATGCCCATTCCTCCTCTGATCCTTTCATTTTATCTTCACTAATGTTGCAAACGATGTCTCAAGCAGAGTACTGTTTATTCTCATAATTTGTACATTAATGGTACTCTGCTTGGAAAGTAATGCATTCTTTCTTCACTCTGTGTCACTTTACCATTGGCTTGTCTTTCATGGGGCCATTTAGAAATCAGAATAATGGCAGACATCCTAAATTAGTACATGACCAGAAAAAAATGCACCAAGCATTTTTCCCTAAGAATTGTCACACACCTCGCATCTTTGAAATAAATTTTACATTGAAACCAAGTCACATCCCTCCATAATGCAGACCTTTCATTTGCTCCTTTTAAGAAATGCTGGCTCAGGAATTCAGTACAACAAACAAACAGTTTTTTAAAGCAAGTCAAAATTATTTTACAAAGCACTTCTCTATGGAAAAGATACTTCTCACTATCCAGTGCTGGATATTATTGGGTATGGGCTATTGACCTCGTTATTTCCCATGTCTAATTAGAGGTGTATTATGCTAAGGTTTTATGTACAGGAGTAACAATTTCGTGCCCAGAATCTCCACTTATGTTATTCAGACACCTCTTTTATAGGAAAGAAATTAAACCAATTTACTTCACATGGGAAGATGGCATCCACGTAATTGCTTGGACACATCATTTGTTGATTTATTACCATACCATAACACAGGAAAAACAAATGCTTCATTGAGGTGGTGTACCAGACAATCACTTCTATTAGACTCAAATAATTTGTGTTGGTAATTTTAGCTTAAGCAAATGAAGGAAAATGAAGAATGTCTGAAGCAAACATTTCTGAGTTTCATTTCATTTATGAAAATGGTGCCTAATTCATCACATCTGCAGTAAAACAAGAATTGAACTGACTATGAAGGAATCAAAATTAATTTTTTAACAGTGTTACTACAAAATACCACATCCCGTGATGTTATTTGGTGATTATTACTCTAAGAGTTTAGCATTTATTTTTCTGTATTCAGTAGTCAAGCTCACTCTCATTCTCAAAAGATTTTACAACCATAAAACAAGAAGAAATTCTCGAGAATGCAGCCCATGACTGTCACTGAGGTGAAATACATGATCCTATGCCTGAAGGCGTTCAGGGCCAGGTTGGATGGAGCCCTGGGCAGACTGGTCTAGTATTTGGTATGGAGGTTGGCAGCCCTGACTGTGGCAGTGGGTTTGGAGCTGGATGATCCTTGGGCTCCCTTCCAATCCAAGTCATTTTATGATTCTATGATCAGTTCTACGAAACGTTTGTACAAAATATTATTTACTTCTGGAAGGGTATACTTGGCTTAAGCTAAAGTTTTCTATCTCTACCTTAAGTTTCTACCAATATCACCATCGCCATCTCTCATTTACTTCCATTATACCTTTAGAAGCCACCAAGGTGTGTCTGTCTGCAGATCCCTGGGGCTGTACAACAATACTGAAGCTTCTTCCTCGGCTTCTTTAAAGAATCAAGCTTCAAAGTTAGTCCCAAATATTCATTAATGGTTGAGACATAAAGTACATATACTATGTAAATATTCCAAGTATATGACAAAGTTTAAACAGCTATGTCACTTGGATAATAACTTCACTTTAAATTTGAGAGTCATGGCTCCTCCCTAAGCAGACAATATTTAATAACCAGCGTTATTAAATTTTTCATTAAAAAGTCGTTTTGTGGGTCATAATGGCAGCATTTAAATACTTCTGGGGCAGATCTTCAGCTGCTCCGAATTTTTCTATGTAAGGCAGCAGCATCAGGCAGCAAAACAAAGTTGGAATGTGCTTTTTTGGGGACTGTCAACACAAACCGACCAATTTCCCAAGAACCAGCCTGCTGCTGTACCTGTTGCCATTTCAAAAATACGTGTTTTATACAAATTCTGCCACTTTTTGCTTCTCTCCCTTTGTGTTTCACCAGCACATCTCAGTGAAGAGTAATTTCCTTCTGTCTGCTGAGAGGAGACAGACTGAAGTCATTTACCTGCAGAGCTGGAGCCAAATGTCTGCTCCAGGTTTACAGCCCGAGATCACGCCCAGTGATCCCACAGCAGGTGGGCTCCTTCTGCTCTCAGAAGGAAGGGTTACAGATTTTCCTTCCATTGAAGTCTGAAATAAAAGCAATTATAACGTACCGATGTGCTGTCTAGACAACTTAGATTATTATTTTAGAAAATGGCCTTTCTAACCTTCCTCACCTTTTCTGATGGGTAAAGCATCACTCTTCAAGCTCTGGTTAGCCCCCAGGATGCTCACCTGGGCAGTGACCCTCATTAAGGGGTCTGTCAGCAAGAATCAGGGTGAAAAGCTGCAGCCACCACTGATGACAGCATTTTTTCCTGCCCCCTTGTGTAGCTCATCTTTGTGGCAGAAGCTGCATTTGACAGTCCACAGGAGGAGCTCATCAGGGAAAGTGCTTCATGTACCCTGAGATCTGCCCTCCAGATTTCCCCACCTGGGATTGTTTACCTGCTGCTTGTTTGCTTCTCTCATAGAATGGTAATTTTTTTTTTTCTGCAAATCTCTTCTAAATTATAAGGTGTGTTGGATGGATGCCTGGGGCAGTAACTCTTATCAGGAAGCTCCATGGCCTCCTTAGATCAAATGTCATATCACAGGTATTCATTAATGATTTATATATGCAGAGTGCAGTGCTATTATACTTAAAATATGGTTCTGGCTTCAGACACCCATGAGTTGTGCAACAGCATCCCTTCAAGATAAACAGATCACAGTCACGCATGTCATTCCTCTCATCAGCTCTTAATCAGGTCATGATTTCTTGCCTCATAATGCAATTTTTTCCCAACATTGTGTTCACACTAAAACCCAATCACACCTTAAACAGTCTCAGGTTACCCCAATAGATGTAGGTCAACTCCATTCCATGGATATCCATCATTACAATGATTTTTACCACCAAGAGTAGAAGTCATGGTAACCATATTTTGGATAAAAGTCTTATCCATGATGGATTATTTTCCTTTCTTATAAGTATATTTCAGTAATAATTCCTTTGGGATCTAAATGTAGAGCCCCTCAGATGTCTTGTTTTCAAGGCAAATGTTTTCTAAGAAATCAGTATTGTTTAAAGCACTCTGGCTTAATCAGGAGCGATTTGGGCAATGTTCTCATTCTGACTTCCCAGACAGACTGGGACAGTCTTCACTTACAGCTTTCACCTGGCTCCAAAGAGGCTCACGGGGATCTCAGAGGAAAGGTGATAGGGAATCACTGGGCTCTGCATGAAGCAATACTGAAGATACTGCCATAAAAGAAGGACAGTCCCCTCTGCCACTGGCGATGCCCGAGGACCCTACATGCTTAGGGGGAGTAAGCACATATGATCTGCTATATAGGGGAAAGGATTTTATATTTTCTTTGTTCCCTCATTTTAGCTCTCCTCCATACCAGGAGATCTTCATTCTGCCCTGGAGACCTGCGGCATAATCTGGAGGCAGACAATCATAGCAGTCAGCTGTTTGGACAAAGCTGATGAGCCAGGATGACTCTTTCTCTCTCATAATGCCAGGATTACATTTGTAGCTGGGTGTGAAAAACTCCTGGCAGGTTTGATTTACCAACTCCTGAACTATGCGAGTCAGTCTCTTTGGACAAGGTGCAGAAGGTAAGGTGGCTGGGAATCTCTCTTGTGAGAGACAGGGAGACTCTAGCATAAAAATTAATTGTGCTCCACCATCTTTCTCTAAAAAACATTTAATTTCCTTAATTGCTGGTATTCTCTTTCTTTTTTCTTTTTTATTTTTTTTTAGTATAACTAATTCAATCCCTTATTCTCATCTTCTGAATTATTCCTGTGATGTAGATGCCTTTGTAAAGATCCCAGAGCAATGACAGCCATTGGAAACAGCTGACAGAAGTTTCTGATTAAAGGATTTCTATGCACTTTGCAAGCCTTCATTAATGATTTATACATGCAAAATGCTTATTACCGTATTTTAAGTATCCAGCACGATTGCAGCATTTTAAAGCAAAGTTACAAAGTCACCCTGAAATAGGTGTCAAGGTTATTAATATACATTCTCTAGTTATGTGTTAAGGTGCTTGCATCACATGCTCTCTTTTTTTGGCTTTTGATTGGAGTAGCTTTGCAATGTTGGCAGGCATCTCAAAAATAGGCAGCCTGAAATCACATTGTAGAGCAAGACTGAACCTTTTCATACAAAACCATCCTCTCAAAAGCCACTTGAATGAAAACCTATTTGCTCACTGTCTATGTATGTCTAAACAGGGAAGAACATTTGTGTATGAATGAACGATCTGCTCATCTTTCATTTCATTTGCGTTTTGGGAAGGGGGCTTAGAAAGACCTTTAGCATTCATATGCTCGTGTTGAAAAAGGAGCAACGAAAGGAATATTCTTCCATTCCAGAGGCTGTTTCCAGAGTCAGGAGAATGACTCAAGAGATGGCTTAGGGTCTTCT